GGCAGAGCATTTGACTGCAGATCAAGAGGTCCCCGGTTCAAATCCGGGTGCCCCCTCCCTTTTCCTCCTTTTTATCCAGAAAACCTTGGTTTGGGGCTCTTTATTTCAATGCCTTTCCCACAAACTGCCTGCAGGCTGCGTCCCCGGGTTGATCGGGTGCTGGGCAGAGGTGGAGGAGCAGATTCCCACGAGAGAAGAGGACCGTCAGCGGGGTGTTTGTGCGGACAGAGACGAGCGTTTCAGGAGAAGCTGCTTCTTGTCCCGGGATTCATTTGCGGAGCTTTGCTGTGCTGGAGATGAACAGGGAGATTCCCGCTGGGCAGGGGCAGGGCAGGTGCCGTGGGGGTATAGCTCAGTGGTAGAGCATTTGACTGCAGATCAAGAGGTCCCCGGTTCAAATCCGGGTGCCCCCTCCCAGCCCACCTTTTCTTGGGATTTCGGGGGCGTTTGTTTGCTGGAGGGCTAACTGGTAGGATCAGCTCGGCTTCCCCTCCCAAGAATTCTTTTTCACGTTACGGTCGGAGCTAGAAAGCGTGGGGAGAATGCCCAAGGCTCTCGGGCAGTTGCCGTGTCAAGTTCCAGTCTCCTCGGAGAACAGACTGCAGCTAGGAGAGGAAAGAGAGGGAGCGATGGAGAGCAGCTGGGCCAAGGTCGCCTGGTAAATGACGAGCGGAGACGGCCTCCGTCTCCCGTGTCGGAGCGCGGCGACTCGCTGTCCCTGCTGCTGTCGCACTTTGGTCTTGCAACTTCTGCAGCAGGATTTGATTCCCATGGAGCGGAGGGGTCGAAGATTGGGCAAGAACACACTTTAAAATGTCGTTTTGTTGGTGAGTTGCCAGGTGTGTGCGCAGGGGGTATAGCTCAGTGGCAGAGCATTTGACTGCAGATCAAGAGGTCCCTGGTTCAACTCCAGGTGCCCCCTCCTTTCTTCTCCCTCAACCTTCCTTTTGCCAAACTTGGCACAGAAGGAGGTTGGAGAGATCTCCTTGGGTCTTGTCAGCTTGTGCTGTGCAGTGAGGGCTGCTTTCTGAGCTCCGTTATTCGAGGTACCGAGGCCCCGAGTATCGGGGGAACTGCAGGGGTTGTGCACCGTGTGAGTAACTGCTCCCTGCCTGGGTGTATTTCTCCGAGTTCTTGATTCTCTGCAGTAATCGTATTTATCATAATTCATTCTACTTAACTCCCGGTACAGCCCTCGGCAGGCACGTTAAGGTGCACGGGGGGCTGTCAAGTAAAGGAATCTAACCGGCGGACATGGAAGCTTGGCTCTCTGTAGGAACGCTTTTAAAACCTCCTTGTGAGGGTGCTGTGCCCGGGGGGTATAGCTCAGTGGCAGAGCATTTGACTGCAGATCAAGAGGTCCCTGGTTCAACTCCAGGTGCCCCCTTTGGGTTGTGCTTTTTCCAGGGAAGAGGAGGAGCATTCCTCACTTTTAGGTCCGCTGTGCACAGAAGGCAGGTCTCTGAACTTGAGTATTCAAGATAGTGAGCGCTCAGCTAAACGCTTCTGTGAAAATCAATACCCGTGTCGGTGACGAAGCAGAGGCATAATGGTCGTTGCCTGGCCATGGCAGTAGTTGTTCTGGCCCGTGAGGAAGCTGCTGGGGATCCAGTTGGCGTGCGTAATTAGACCCCGTCTGGGTGTCTTTGTCTCCAGATTGTCTGCAGGAACTTTCTGTGCACAATTTTCCTTGTACATGAGCATGCAACCGAGGGTGCTGTCATAGAGCACGATCTAGCCAGCGCACGTAAAAACCGAGCTACGTATCAAGATTTTTATTGCTCCTTGTACGAGTGCAAACCCAGGGGGTATAGCTCAGTGGCAGAGCATTTGACTGCAGATCAAGAGGTCCCTGGTTCAACTCCAGGTGCCCCCTCCTTTCTTCTCCCTCAACCTTCCTTTTGCCAAATTTGGCACAGAAAGCGATGGAGAGATCTCCTTGGGTCTTGTGAGCTTGTGCTGTGCAGTGAGGGCTGCTTTCTGAGCTCCGTTATTCGAGGTACCGAGGGCCTGAGTATCGGGGGAACTGCAGGGGTTGTGCACCGTGTGAGTAACTGCTCCCTGCCTGCGTGTACTTGTCTCTGCTCTTGATTCTCTGCAGTAGTTCTCTGTACAGCCTCCGGCAGGCACGTTAAGGTGCGCAGGGGGCTGTCAAGTAAGAGAGTCTGACCAGCGGGCATAGGAACTTGTCTCTCTGTAGAAA